TCTGTGTCCGGACCACGAGGGCGCGGGTGCGGACATGTTCGCTGCTCGTGAGCACGTGGCACTTGCAGCAGGTAGCCCAGCTCACAGTCAGCCCGCATAGTAAGCATGGGCAACCTTCCCAAGGGTCTTTGCATCCGTGCCTCCTCGGTCCATCCTTGGTCACCCGTTGGCAGCGCCCCACTCGAAAAGCTTCGAAATGACCTTCCAATGGCCTTGCATCCTTATCGCGCATCCTTATGAGTCGGGTCGACTAGCGTCGCTCCCAGAAAGAGGGTCGTGTTTGGCGGGTTGCGCTGCGCTCAGAGAGGATATCACCCGGCTGCTGGTACAGGCACCGCCACAGTGCCAGCAAAGCATATACATGCATTCTGGATTGTCCTGCCGGGCACTCCCGAACAGCTCCTCCTCGTCCCTCTCCTCCTCCTCCGCCGCCCCCCTTCTCTTCCTCCCCCCCCTCCTCCTCCTCCTCCTCCTCCTCCTCCTCCTCCTCCTCCTCCTCCTCCTCCTCCTCCCTCCTCCTCCTCCTCCTCCTCCTCCTCCTCCTCCCTTCTCCTCCTCCTCTTCCTCCTTATCCTCCTCCTTCTCCTCCTCCTCCTCCACCTTCTCCTCCTCCTCCTCCTCCTCCTCCTCCTCCTCCTCCTCATCCTCCTCATCCGCCTCATCCTCCCCCTCCTCCTCCTGGGCTGTCTTGGGTCTTGGGGGCCTTCTCTGGCATTCGTTTGGCTCTCTTGGGGGCGTTGTGAGCCGTCTTGGGGACTCCTTGACACCCTCCGGGCCAATCTTGGCCATCTCTGAAGCCTTCTCGATGCCATTTTATGCCAAGCACCCTAGACGCCAAATAACTGCCTCTGCTTCTTAGGGCATCTTGCGGACATCCCTATGCATCTGCGGGGTCTGAGGGCGGTCGTTTGAGGGTAGTGTCAAGGGATCGTGCCACCATCTTGAGGTGGTCCTGGATTTTCTTGCAGCTGTTTTCGCGACACGACGAGCGCCCGGAAGCAAAGAGAGAGAGAGAGACAGAGACAGAGAGAGAGAGAGAGACAGAGACAGAGAGAAACACAGAGAGAGAGAGAGAGAGAAAGCGCGAGCCGCACACGTCCGGGGTGTAGTGGCACTGGCAGGGGGAACTGCCGGCGCGTCGAAGCACTGGGCTCATGCTGGCGCTTCGAGGCCGAAGCGCCTGGCCGCCGGGCGCCACTCGCGCGGCGACGGGCCTGCCACAGCAGCCGTCGCAGCGAAGCTTCGCGATCGGCGGCTTGGCATGCCAAGTCGTAGACAGATCAGGAGGGTAGTTAAATGATCTCCGCCACGCATTTAACATAGTGGAGGCCCATGCCAAGAGCACCGTGCTTGCCTCCAGGGTGCCCTGGATGTCTTGTGTTTCGATGGTTTTTCGATGGGAAGCGTGACGTTCCCACAGCAAACATCCATGGACGTCCCGGGGTCTCAGGGTTGGGTTTCTTGTGGACTGGTCTCCACTGCATAGCAGGCGGCACAACACGACCTCCCCTAGCGAGGGGGCATCTTTGGCGCTTGGCAGCCGCTGCGCTGTGGTCGGGCCCTCGCTCTGCCGCAGCCGGCCAGCGCGGATGTCGTAGCCCACATTTCCGTTGTGTGAGACGTGGCTGGGGTTCAGCTGTGCCCACCGAGCATCCCGTGCACGAAAGGCCGCCTCGGATAGACGCGGCAAGCTCAGGCTGCCGCAGAAAAGGCCCTTGTTGTTTGAGGATCATCAGCACGCCAGACTGTTTGGGACCTTCGACGTGCGCGCAGTCATCGTTACCTTGGTGAAAGGCTTGACAGAGTCGCTGTAGCTCTAACGGCAGCCGTCTTGCAAGAACTCCCCCCAGGATAGGAGGGGGCGCGGAGCGGGAAGCCAGGTACTCCGACCGCAGTGAGGCCAAGGCCACGCTCAAGGAGCTCGCCCAGGCAAGCTCACTGCCAGTTTCTGCCCGGGGAGGGGGGCGGAGGAAGCGAGATTCAGTGAGGACTGGCTGCACGTAAGACTGACCCCTCGCAGGAGTGTCCTTGGATGCGGGCCCACATGGGGTCCCCCCCAGCACTGGCCCGCTCGCGCTTGGGTTTGGCCTCTCCGCGGCCCTTCGGAGCCGCGCACCAAAGGTCTTGCCTGGGGTGGTCAATCCTGCGTGGAGCCGAAGAGCGTCCCTTGCAGAACGGGCGTCATCGACAAAGAGACGGAAGGTCGAGGGTCGTTTGCCGGCGAAGACCGGCGGAAGGTCAGAGGAACTGGCAGAAGTAACACAAATGGAGGCGTTAGCGAATCTTGGTGATTGGAAACCGCAAGAGGAACCTCTGGCTACGTCGGCCGGGGGTGCCGCAAGAGTGGGCTGATCCAAGCGGCCCAAGTGGCGGGTTGACCCAATTGGCCCAACTGGCGGGTTTCGAGGGCGGCGTCAGAGGCGCCGCCAGGGGGCTCCAGCGCCGATCCCAGACATCTTCGCGGACCTCCGAAAGTTTTTGAGTTCATGTCATTGTTTGTTCCTCGAGGGCTGGCCCACATGATTCAGACCACAATCACGCACTGAACCACGCGTGTCGCTGGGGCTGTCGGGGCAGGCACGCACAGGGTTAAGTCGGGCTTGTCCCTCTACAGGAGGAATATCCCAGAATAGCCAAGACATAGTCGGCTGACGAATTTTGATTAGTTGTGACCATTCAGTAATACGTTTCGACTAGTTGTTATTGTTCGTCCACAAGCCGCCTGCTGGGAAACATGCCCGGCCTGAGCACAAGGCCGTTTCGGTCATTTGGGTCGCACGGGCCTCTGGCGCCGCAGCGTTTCTCGCAGCGCCCCGCCGGGCGGCAGGACGAGGGGCCCACAGGCAGCCTTTTCGTGCAGCGGCCGCCATGACAGTCACCTCTGGCCGCCTTAGAATTTTAAGCCTGGCGTGTCCCTCTAGGAGGAACGTTCAAAAGTAGGAGAAACTGTCTGGGGCGATGTTTTAAGTACATGTTTCTAAACATATGGTTTGATCATTGTTTTTTTTATGTTTTTATGTTTCGTCCAAATCGGCCTGCAGTGGGACGCGCCCGACTCAACCTTAGAATCTGCAGGAGATTTCCGAGGCAACCCCATGGGCCCCAGAGGCCGTCCCACAAGGCGGCGCTCGAGGGCACTACAATGCTCCCAAGACGTCACCCCAGAAACTTTACAGAGGCACACGCTCCATACAGCAAAACATGCACATAGGGTCCGGCCCAAAACGGTTTCCACTGCAAGGGGGGGCCGTTTTGGTCCAGACTTTGTGTTTTGTCGTTTGCAGTGGGCATCCCACGCATCCTCCGCATAAAGTGGGCGCGTCCCAGGTGACAGCGATGCCCGACGGCCCAGAGCATGCCAGGAGACCTCCATGACAGCCTAAGCGAACCCCAGGATTCTCCCAATACAGCCCCAAACGGCAGGACAACCTTTCGCTATTCCTGAGCACGGTGAAAAACAACAGGGAGGTTCATGCTGGAGGACGCTCAGGGACGACTAAAGTCGTTTCTGGCATCGCCGCCACTCATTATCATTATAATCGTCTCCTTCGTCACGGTTGTCAGATCATCACCACCCTGCTGGTTCACTGGGGGCTGGCGCCGCAAGACGCCGGCGCGGCCACACGTGTGGCGTAGGAGGTTGCCCCATCTGCCGTGTGCGCGGCGTTATGAGGCCCCAGTGGCCATAGCCACCTATTGATGGGCAGGTGCCTATGCTCTAGTGACCACAGACGCCCATCCATTCGATTTCTCGCCCGGCCCGGCCGCCTTGGTGCCCCGTCCGCCTGACAGCCCGCCTTGGTGTCCCGCCCACCCGATGATTGGGTGCCTAGGCCTTCCTGACCATAGAGCCACCCATGAAGTCAATGTCCCGCCCGCCCTTTCCGCCCTTTTTGGTGCTCCGCCCGCCCGATGACGGTGACTAGGCCGTAGTGGCCAAAACTATCCATTCATTTAGTACCGTGCTGATTGGTTGCATTGGTTATTCAAGTGCTGAGGTTGGGACACGGTTCGATACCCTAAGAACCCCAGAACAATTCAGCACTTATCAAATCAAAGACCTGACGGGAGTGTGGCAGACACCAACGACCAAGCAAACGTCTTGGCTGACTACTTCGAAGACGTTAGATGACAAGTTCGTTTACAGGATCCGGAACCAGAGACACGAGAATTGTTAGGAGATGCTCCACCGATCGCCATACACAAATCCACCCAGGCGTAATTATCCGCTGCCGTGCGCAAAATACGTCGCGGCAGGTTCCCTGGACCCGATGGGTTACCACCCATCTGTTTTGGAAATATCAACATTTTGATCGGATGCGCGCGATAGGTTGCTTGCGCTGTGCCAACAATGCTGGGAAGCTAAATCAACACTAGACCATTGGAGACGGGCAAACGTGGTCCTAGTGTTCAAGAAAGGAGACACCGCGTTGCCAGCAAACTACCAGCCAATATTTTGTTGCAGTTGAATACAACGTCTTGGCTTTAATGAAACGCCAAAGACTGTTCGATGGAGGCTCTGAGTCAACCACGCGGGGTCCCAATTTGGATTCAGACCAAAACAGGCCCTTCTGACTTTGTTCTGTTCGTCAGGCGCATTAGTGATGTTGCAAACTCGAGCAGGCATTGGGACACCAATCTGCTTGTGGTGGACTGGGCTAGAGCTCTTGACGCACTAACGCCAATTTGCATGTGTGGAGCCCTGCGTCGCTTCGGGCTCCCAGGAGACTGGGTGGCAATGATTGGGCCTATCGATGCTGATTGTTATTTCAATATTGTGGACCACGCTGGGCACCCACACGAAAAACAAGTTGATGCTGGGATTGCGAAGCGCTGTCCCTTTTCGCCTGACTTGTTTTTGTGTGGTACACGCTTTTATGCTGCACGACGCGATGAACACAGTACGATGCGAGCTAGATCCAGAGTACGGTGTGGCTCGGGATATACTGTGCGCAAATGACATATTATCAGCCTCGCAGAGCAGCAGTAATCTCCAGACCCCGTCGAATACGATTGTGGGTACAGGCGTAAGCTCGAGGTTGGAACTAAGCTGGGACAAAACGTCACCGCGCAGGTCGCGAGAATTCTTGACGATTCGCGTATCCCCACCAGTGTCTGTGGGGGCTGGCGCCACAGTGCGACCCTCCGCCGACTTTTCCAGTCTGCTGCCGTCTTCCGTTCCGGGGTCGGCTCTAATGAGGTTCATTGTGTTCCTCGCATGTGCATTGCGGCGTTGGCCTATGTGCCTTCGTTGCCAATCGTCTCGCTTGGCGCCCCTGTCGAGATCGACCCGCTCTCTGGAGTCGTCCTTTGAGCCGCAGATCTAAAAAGTATCCCCACCAGCCGGTCGTCAGTGACTGTCAGTGGCCACTTCTCGACCCCCCAACCGTGTGTTTTGTTTGGGCACGACGCTCTACTACAAGTTCCAGCTCCTCGGAAGGGGCTTCGTCCTCGGCGTGGCCTGAGCCTGAGCTGCGGCGCGTTCCCGTCTCTCTGTCGTGTTTTCTTTGATTGTCGCCCCTCTCGTTTTTCTTTTCCTTGCTATTATGCTCTTCGGTTTTCGCCCTCGGCCGCCTCTCGCTTTCGCCTGCCTCTGTCTCCGCTGCGTTGCTTTCGCCACCCTTGTGGCCCCTTTTTTCCGCATCGCACTTGCGACAGCAGGGTTGCGCTTCTCTTTCGACTTTATCTGACGGCGCGAGGCTGACCGCGTCGCTCGCGAGCAAAAAAGTATCCCCGCCAGTCTGCGCGCGCGCCGGCAATTAGGTTCGCTCGTAGCCCGGGCCGGCTCGACCTGTTGCGGGCGCCTTCGGCTGCGGCTGCGACGGAGAAAAATCCCCACCAGCCCATCCAGAAACGATGCCCATGAGAGCTGATGGGGGGAGAGGAGGGCGCGTTGGGGCCCGCGGGGGGGGGGGGGGGGCGCGTTGGGGCCCGCGGGGGGGGGGGGCGAAGAGGAGAAGGAAAAGGAGGATGAGGAGGAGGAGGAGAATGAGGAGGAGGAGGGAGGCAAGAGGAGCAATACGAGGAAAAGGAGGACGAGGATGAGGAGGACGAGGACTAAGAGAGTGAGGAGGAGGAGGAGGAGGAGGAGGAGAAAGGGGAGGGGGAGGAGGAGGAGGAGGAGGAGAAGGAGGAGGAAAAGGAGGAGAAAGAGGACGAGGGGGAGGATGAAAACGAGGAGGAGGGGTAGGAGGAGGAGTTGGAGGAGGAGGAAGAGGAGGAGGAGGAGGAGGAGGAGGAGGAAAGGGAGAGGAGGAGGAGAAGGAGGGGGAGGAGGAGGAGGAGAGGAGGAGGACGGGAGGAGGAGGATGAGGAGGAGGCGGGGGGAAAGGGAAAGGGGTGAGGAGAGGAGGAGGAGGAGGAGGAGAGGAGGAGGAAAAAGGAGGAGAGGAAGAGGAGAAGGAGGACGACGAGGACGACGACGACGAAGGGACCTCCCCCCCCCCCCCCCCTGTACGGATGGAGAACGAGGAGTAGGAGGATGAGGAGGGGAGGATAGGAGGGCGACGGTACGGATGAGAATCAGGAGAAGAAGGAGGAGGAGGAGTGAGGAAGGAGGAGGAGAACAGGAGGAGGAACAGGAAGGAGGAGGAGGAGGAACGGAGAGGAGGAGGAGGAGGAGGAAGAGGGAAAGGAAGAGGAGGAGGAACAGGAGGGAGGAGGAGGAGGAGGAGGAGAAGGAGGACGGACGACGACCGACGAGTACGACGAGGACGAGGACGACGGTACGGATGAGAACAGTAGGAGGAGGAGGAGAGGAGGAACGGGAGGAGGAGGAGGATGGAGGAGGAGAGGGAGGAAGGGGAAGGGGGAAGGGATGGAGGAGGAGGGAAGAGGAGGAGGAGGAGGACGACGACGACGACGAGTACGACGAGGACGAGGACGACGGTACGGATGAGAACGAGGAGGAGGAGGAGGAGGAGGAGGAGGAGGAGGAGGAGGACGACGACGACGACGACGAGGACGAGGACGACGGTACGGATGAGAACGAGGAGGAGGAGGAGGAGGAGGAGGAGGAGGAGGAGGAGGAGGAGGAGGAGGATCTTGGGGTTCTAGGAGCATCTTAGGAGCCATCTTGAGCCAGCTTGGGCTTTCTGGAGCCAACTTGACGGTCATTTTGGGCTCTCTGAAGCCGCTCGGGGCCCTCCTGGGTGCCTCTCGGGTGCCTCTTGGAGGCCTCTTTGGGCCTCTTGGGGCGCTATTGGGGCCCCAATGGGGGCCTCTTGGGAGCCCTGGGAGGGGGGCATCTTGGGGCCATCTTGGAGGCGGGGGTCCTTAATGTAGCTCCCCCGCTCGGGGGGCACGATCCTCGTGAGAGGTCTCAAAAAGTGGCCCTTTCAGGGGCCGAAAAAGGACACTTCGACACACCGGGCCCCCTCCAAACAAATAACGCAGGGAGGCGAGGGGAATGGTTCCCCTTTCCGAAAGGACGGGGGGTCGTGGAAGACCCTCGTTAGACCACCTGTCGCCCAGAGGGCTGGTGGGATTATACGTCCGCCGCATTGTGCGGAAATCGAAACAGTACGAGACGCAACATATCTGGATGGCTTCACCACGTGCGACGCAAGACCATTGACAGAGTTGTTAGGCAGACAAGTCACTGGGCTGGTCAAGTCGCTGTTCCAAATCTTGTCCTACAGTTGCCAATCGAGCATTCTGTCCACGCGTCCTTCCCGATGCTCGGCTCAGCGGCGGCGGCCCCCCGCCCGCTATAGTGTCCCACCCGCCTGACACGCTTGCTGTAGTACCCCGCCTGCCCGATGACGGAGTGACTCGGCCTTGCTCACAATAGCCACTCATACGTTTCATGTCGTGCCCGCCCGACCCGCTCCCATTGGTGCCGTGCCCGCTTGATGACAAGGCGAGCAGGCCGTAATTAGTAAGCAGATCCACCCATGGATCACTGTCCCCCCTGCCAGACTGCCCCACGTTAGCGCCCCGCCATGCCCGCCCGTTTTAGTGCACCACCTGCCCGATGATTAGGTGACTCGGGCCAAATGGCCATAGCCGCCCACGTGTTCCATGTCCCGCCCGACCCGCCCGCTTTATTGTCCTGCTTGCCCTGTCCGCCTGCTTTCGTGTCCCGCTTGCCTGGCGTAGGGGGAGCCGCTGCAGGCAGAGGAGGAGGAGGAGGAGGAGAAGGAGGAGGAGGAAGGGTAGGACGATGAGGACGAGGACGAGGACGAGGACGACGACAAGGAGGAGTCATGGTCGCGGCCGTCGTCGTGCAGAGCTCTTCCAGACATCCTCGGCCGGATTCTGGTCCTCTTGGGCGGCACTTGGCCGTTCCAGTCGGGCATGGGTCGTCTGGTAGCGACCCCCCTCGGGCGGAGGAGTGGTGGTCGTTCTGGGTGGTACTCGTCCTCTCTAGTGGCTGCGATTGGCCTTCTGGGGACCGCCTGGGGCCAGATTGCGGCCCACCTTAGCGCTCTTCAGTGGACGAGGCGTTTGGGACGATAGAAACAGTGCCCAGCCAGAAACGGTCCCCGCTGACGTTGTGTACCGCGTTGGGCCAGGCATTGCTTTTTGTCCAGACGCTGGCCGTCGTCTTAGGAGTGCCCTGCTGCGATCAAAGCCGCTTCTCGCTGGCACATGCGGGTCCCTCGGGTCATTCGGGTGAGTCCCCATCTGGATCGGTTGGGTCATCTGGGTAAGCCCGCCCCTTTGGATCATGTGGGTCACTTGGGTCAACACGGTTCTTAGCACTCCAGGCCGATATTATGTTTTTGTTGTTGGAGACGTTCGCACCACCATCTTGTACGGGAAATTCCATCGTTTATTGCAAATGTTCGCAAGGGAGGACGGTCAATTATTGTGTTGGCTAGAGTTGGCCGCTGGGCACAGTTAGCCAGGTCCGATTCCTCATGTTTCGTCTGAGTGGCTCCACTGGCGTGCATCCATCTGCGTGTCAATTCATGGCGGCCAGGTTGCCATGAAGAAGCAGCTCAGCGTTTGTTGGTGGCACGGGCATCCGACAGCACATGGCGGGCAGGGTCTGCGCATTCCGAGGAGCCATGCGCGGTGCATCACTGCCTCGTCTACGGCTCGGTCCCAGCCTGGCCTACATCGCAGAGTGTCTTTCGGTACCCTGCCCCCCCCCCCACGCAGGTCATCGTGCGGGGCAAGCAGGAGTTGAAGATACAGTCCATACCGCACGTGGTGATACTGTCGCAGGAGTTCTACAGGACGCACATGTTGGGCCACCTGGCCGATTGGCGGAGACCCCAGTCGGGACTTTTAGGGGGACGCCCGTCGGCTCCCGGGGGGGGGAGGCAGAGCAGGATGCACGCATCCTGCGGAAAGGAGAGCTACCCTCAGGAGGGGGACAAACACACACACACACACACACACACACACACACACACACACACACACACACACACACACACACACACACACACACACACACACACACACACACACACACACACACACACACACACACACACACACACACACACACACACACACACACACACACACACACACACACACACACACACACACACACACACACACACACACACACACACACACACACACACACACACAGACACCAGTGATCGTCGATCCCCTGGAAGATATGGGAAACTATGGGAAGTGGGGGGAAGACAAAAACCCATAACATAGGGAAAGCATTAGGAATCCTGTCATTCGTGTGCTTATTTATGTGTGTGTGTGTCCCAGGGCCCTTTCAATCATCCGGAATGGAGAGTTACCAGCCTGGATGATTGGCATCATGTGATCTCGATGCCGATCTTCAGGATCCCCTCAGTTTCTGAGGACGCACCCCTGATATTGCCATCGCCGCTGGGTTTGGCAACCTTGTGGGCAGGGGGAGGATCGAGGCTGGTCGGAGAGGCCGTGAATCGAGATCGTGGCCAGGACTTTGCCGCTCGACACCCGGGTTCGGAGTCGGAACAAGGAAGAAAGCCGAGGCTTCTGCGAGTTCCACTATCATTTACCCGACCCCCATCCCCATCCCCATCCCCATCCAGACCCCAACCATCTCAGCACCCCAATTGGGGATGGATCCTTCGAACCCCGAAGGAAGCGGCGCAGATCCCCATCTGGGGGGGTGCATCGGCCAGTGGGTCCCAGGCCGCGCCCACAGTAATAGGGGTCGGTCAAACGCTGCTCAGAATCTCGGGCCGTTTCTGTCCGGTGCGGGTGTCCGCGGGGCGCACTCTTGTGCGAGGTAGGCAGGGATGCACCCGTGCTGTCTGGTAGTCAGGCAGTGGCGAAGCGTCCTGGCTCGCCTATAGCCCTACCGAACAATGTTCTAAGAACCTTTTGTGGTTTCCACGAAATGTCCTTAGAACATTTCTGGCGGATATTGTCTTGTTTTAACACATCGGGTTTATGTTCTAAGAACATTGTTTTTGTTCTTAGAACATGTTTGAGTTCTAAGAACATTCCGTGGTAGGACTATAGGGTTGCTGGGACGGTCGGTCCGTGCTCAAGGTAGGCACCTTCGCCCTCCTCGGCCATGTGCTCACCTCGCTGGAGCGGGGCATCACAGCACCGAAGAGCACACGGGACCTGGGACGAATCAGAAGGATCGGGCAGAGCAGCGATCCTCCATGCCTGCCTCTTGCGTCTGCCAGTCGCGTGTACCTTTGATTCATGCTCGTTGTGTCTGCCTGTTGCGTCTGTTGGTTGTGCCTGCCCTGTGTGTCTAAACATTATGTCCGTCACGTGTCTCCGTCGCTCCAGTGTCCCACCAATTAATTGTTTCATGCTTCGTTTTCGCATGCCGGGTTGACGTACACTGTTTCTTTGGATTATTGCTGTTCTTGAGTTTTCAACTGTTGTCGGTTCCCCCCGGTGCAAGTTGTTTTCCAGTTGAAGCACTACCCCTGGGGTTCGCACCCTGATTTTTACAAGGGTAGAGGTCTTGCGGCTCAGATTGGACCCCTGGCCCCCAGTTTACAACAATAACGGATCCCGCCGAATACTTCCTCACAATGTATTTGCGAATCGCGCTTTCGCGCGGGACCTCCTCACAAGTTATGCAGGAATCGCGCCTTCCTCGCAATTTGTTGACAGGCTGCGCCCTCGACACTCTGGAGTCACGCTCTTGCGTTTCTAGCTTTTCTCACGATTTATTTAGGAATCGCGCTATCGCTCGAGACTTCTTCGCGATTCATGCACGGCGCACGCTTCAGCATCCCGCTTGCTCTACCTCCATCCTCCTCCCTCCCCCTTGTCTCTTCTCTCCATCCGTCCTCTCTTCCCCTGCCTTGGGGGCTGGACCAAACATACGTTGCAGGTAAGGAAGATCGATCCCCAAGGGGGTACGATCGAAGACGAAGAGGACGGGCATCGAGGGTTCGATATACGCGTGTTGAAGTGCACGCGAGCAGATCGGAGCTCATAGTCTGAACATGTGCTGTTATTGTTGGTGTTGTTGTCGTTGTCGTTGTCGTTGTTGTTGTTGTTGCTGTTGTTGTTGCTGATGTTGTTGCTGTTGTCCTGTGCAAGCTTTGTTTGTCAATGCATACGGTACCTGTTTGTTTGACTAGTGTTCACGTGCATAGCTGTCTATGCACTGTTCGCCGTGTTCGATGGTGCATGCCGTGCGCGCATTGATTCCCGCCCCCTGTGGTGTCTGATCGCAGCTCAGTTACTCCATGGCTTGCATTTCCGTGTAACTTGTCGTCTGTATTGCCTTGATGTTGGGAATGTGTTGCCTCGAACGGACAAGTCTATTGTTAAGCGATGCAGCCGGTTGGTTTTTTGTTGCTTTTGGCTTTCGTGATGTCATAGTGTGGTTAACATGTTGTTTGGCTGTCGTACGCTCGCCGTTAGACTCGATCCCGGCCAATGTACATTGCAATGGTGACATGCGCGTGGTTTGCTCGTGGTTCCCCCTTGCATCGCTGTTCACTGGAGAGAAGGAGCTCATGTTTTGGGTCGCGATGGGCTTGTGCGTTGCAATCCAAGCTTGTGCGCGGGGGCCACCCATCGCGTATTGACCCGACGATTGTTTTGTTGATGTTTGGGCATTTGCGGGGTGCGAATGATTGATTCCCCGGCCACGATGGCAATGCGGCGCTGGACGACGGAAGGCACGACCACACTTTGGAGTGAGCAGTGCTTACTCTCGCGCATGCTTGTTTACGTTCGCGCATGTGTTTTTTTACCAGCCTGGCTGGCTCAAGGGACAGGCGTCTTCGACACCACCTGGCCGTCCCCACCGTCCGCTGCAGCGCGCGCCTCCTGGGTAGTGGTGGGCTGGCTGTGGCGGCGGGCATGCCTGTGGCGGGGACAGCGACCTGTGCCGACGGAGGCGGCAGTAGCGCCAAGATCGGGGAAGCGTAAGACTCGAGTACGCCACCACTTAGATCCGCATACGCTTTTTGACGAGCGCGTCCTGGATTCCGACGGTCCAGTTTTCGTGGGATGTTTGCAGCAGCAGCTCGCGTCAAATTTCGGACTGGGTCTCGTCATTTTCTTGAGGGCCCCGCCAGGGCCATTCCGAATCCCCCGAACCCGAGTCGTACGTCTCCCCGACCAGAGACGGAGGCTAGCGAGGACAGCTGCGTCGGAGAGCTCCTCGGCTTCTGCGGACGAGGCCTCCGGGGCTGCAGACGGAGGCCCGGGCGCGGCCGCAGGCGCAGCAGGAGCAGTTCCCGCAGACGTCGGTGCGTCCGGCGACGAGCGCGATGGTGACGGACCGTCCTCGTCGTCCTCCTCGTCCTCCTCGTCGTCCTCTTCCAGCTCGAGCTCCTCCGAGTCGGAGTCGGAGGAGGCCGCGCCGCTGGCGCTGGCGCTGGCGGGCCGGAGCCCCTCCGAGGGCGGCAGTCCCTCCGAGGGGCTGGACGTCGAGCTTGCCGAGGAAGAGGGGAAGCTCTCCGAGGAGCAGAGGTTCGAGCAGGCGATCGCGTCCTGCCGGAGCGCTCAGCTGAGGAGGGACGCTATCATCCAGTGGCGCTGCAGCGCATCATCTCCGAGGAGGAAGAAGTACCCCTACCGCTACCCCCCTCCCTCGTTTGTCCCCCTTTTAAGCCTCCTGGGCGGCCCGCGTCGCAACCGCTGGATTCGCCTCGAAATCCTGGCCAGAACGCACCCCCAGGAAAAGTCCGGGGATTAGCGGTATCAGCACCTTTCGGCTTCCCAATATCCGCAATCGCGCAGTGGGGGTGGAGGCTAAGGTTTGGGGACTGCGGGGGCGCCAAAGCCCCCGCCACAGGCCTTCTCGCTTCTGGCTCTGTGGCTGTCAGAATGCCAGCAATTCAGCCTCGATCCGGTGTGTGGGGGAGTGGGGTGGAGAGGTCTCTGCAAGAAGCAAAAGTGAAGGAAACGAAGATGGGAACCGACACGCACAAGCCGCCCAGAACGGCGCGCTGGCGGGTAGATATGCTGCTGGACCTCCCTGAGGAGCAGTCCGAGCTCGCCATTCGGAAGTCCTTCGTCAGGGTCCCCGTGTCGGGGGGCTCTTGCGTGATGGCGCAGGTGACGGCGATAGAGCCTGCGCCAGAACCGTACACAGTGGTGAGGCGAAATCTGGACAGTCGCGCGTTGTCTGTGCAGCTGAGGTGCCAACGGGGTAGCTCTGACATGCTCACCAAGGTCACTTCTGTTAGCAACGAGGAGATCTCGGCGCAGGAATTCATGCAGTGGAAGCGGCTTACGCTCCGGCTCTGCGGAGACGTGGAAGCATATTATATGGATGAGTTTAAGCACAAGGCGGAGGACATCCGCACGGCTCTCGATTTCACGTGGACCGACGACAGGATCACCCAGAGGCTTGCGAGGAAAACCATCGACGCCGACGGCAGACGGCGCTCTCTGGAGTTTTCTGCCCAGAAGGAATCCAGCTGCCTGCGGGAAGTCCCACCACCGTGCCAGTCCAGCATTTGGGGCGGTGACTGTTCGAGGGGGCACGAGAGGCCGCCACGCGTGGCACCTCGTGTCCCCAGGCTTCGGAGAGCCGCGGTGGTGGTGGTGGTGGTGGTGGTGGTGGTGGTGGTGGTGGTGGTGGTGGTGGTGGTGGTGGTGGTGGTGGTGGTGGTGAGGAGGAGGAGGAGGAGGAGGAGGAGGAAGAGGAGGAGGAGGAGGAGGAGGAGGAGAGAAAGATGAGGAGGAGGAGGCGGAGGAGGAGGATGACGAGGACGAGGAGCAGGAGGAGGAGGAGGAGCAGGAGGAGGAGGAGGAGTAGCAGGAGGAGGAGGAGGAGCAGGAGTGAACGCTCTCAGGAAGACCATTTGGGGGCGTCTTGGGGCTGTCTTGGCCTCTTGTGGGGCCGTCTTGGGGGTCCCTTTGGGGCCGTCTTGGGCCATCTTGGTGGGGCTCTCTTGGGCCTTCGTGATAGGCTCTTGGCTTTTTGGTGGGAATCTGGGGACCGTGAAGGGCCGTCGGAAGCCGTCTAGGGCCGTCTTGGGTCGCTCGTGAGGCCCTCTTGGGCCGCTGTGGATGCCTTTTGGGTCATCGTGGGGTCCTCTTAGGCCATCTTGGGGCCCTCTTGAGGGCCTCTTGGGCCGTCTTTGGGCCATCTTGGCGGCTTCTTGCGCCGTCTTGAGCTGACGGAATTCCAAAAAGGTGAGCGTGCGAAAATTATGCAAAACATGTCGAACATCATGCGTCTCCGGACCCTCTTGGGGTCGTCTTGTGGCCTTTGGGGGCTCTCGTGGAGGCATCTTTGGCTGTCTTAGGCCAGATTGGCCGCCTTGGCGCCATCTTGGGCAATCTTCCATGAATCTTGGGCCATCTTGGTTGCCTCGGTTGTGGCTGGGCCGTCTTGGAAGCTCGGGACGCGGACACACCGTCTCCTGCGAGGGATCGTGGCCTTGGGAGGGCGGACCCATTCTTCTCAGGGGGGGTAGGGACGATGCACGCAGCTCAGTGCCGCCAGGGGGAGGCGTCCCTCATTGGAATACAGACACCCTGCCAAACAGCATATGAAGTTCCACCACGCCTTCACTTGCCAGGGGCCACGGTGGCGGATCCAGGTTTCGGTCTGCGGTTCAGACAACGTTGTCTCAGATGGACATCAGCAGCGTCGGAGATAACGAGGCTGTTGCTCTCGAGAGTGACTACAAGCAGGCGCTGGAGCAGCTGCACGAGGCGGAGAAGAAGGCCGTGCAGAGCCAGTCGGAGTGGTTCAGGATGCGCCCCAACCTGTACAGCCTCAAAATGATCAACGAGAAAAACCTCACGAAGCAATACGCGGACGACAAGCACGCACTGGAGTACACCCTTGAGAACGAGGCCTCAGGTCAGGGCGACCTGAATCCGTTCCAGCGCCGCGCCTGCATGCCGGTCTGCGCGTGGGATACGGCCCTCACAGCTGTAGAGCTGGACGCAGAGGCAAGGCCGCCTGCCCCGTCAGTCTCGCAGGCCGCTCCGGCCGCTGTGGGCGTGGCAGCTGCGAGCACGCACGGCACGGTCGGCCGAGGAGACGTGGGAGGTGAAGCCGTCGGGCCTTGCTCTGAGCAGCCACTCGCCAGGATGGCTTCCATGCTGCAGGCGCACAGGCGGGCGAATCTGCTGGGCAAGCTGAGGTTCCCCGCCATGACCGCGAAGGCAGCATAGAGAATTCATGTTTTTCCTGTGGGAGGAGTCGCATGCGGGATTTTGCTGCGAGCATGCTGCGAGCTGTCTCTCTTGCACCGCAGTCCAGAAATGCGCGCCTGTACGGCTAGCAGCCAGACGTGCGTGCGGAGAAGCGCGTAGGTAGTGACTTACATGACAAAGGTAAGACGCTGGCTGCCCGTGAGGGAGCGTGGGAACCAGACACCATTGCACTCTACTATCTTCTCTCCTTCTCTTGCATATCCGATTCTGCTCCGCAGGGCCCGCGTGCTGGCCTGCGGAACCATCGATTTAGCAGGCTTGCTGGCTGCAGCTACGTCTCTATGATACTCATGACACAGCCCAGCTAGTAGCGATGTGTACTCTTCACCCCAAGCCACAGCTGGCCCCGAGGCGTTGTTCTCTCCCTGTGCAAGCAGCATAGCGTGCTGTGCATGCGTGCGCCGTCGCCTTCTGCTTGCTACCGTGCGGACCGCACGCGCACGCCTGATAGGTGCCGCCCGTGCGGCATGACTCCGTGCGGCGCACGTGCGCTGATCTCACGGGTGCGTGCCGTGAACATCCCCGCCGCACGATACCGCGTGGGCCACGCGCGCGCACTGCACGGACCCCTATCGCTGTCAACTGGTGCCATGCGGGCCGCACGTGCGCGCTGAACGGACACCATCCCCGTCGAAGAGTGCCACCTGCCCGCGGAAATTCCAGTCAGTGCCATCATCGAGATGCTCGGATCCGTCGGGTCATCGCCTGCTCTTCTCTTCCTTTCGTTTCCCCTGCTCTACGGAGCCATCGGCTTGTCCTACAGAGCCAAAGGATTCGCCAGCGCGCCGCTCTTTCCGACCCGCTATACGGAGCCATCGGATCAGCCAAGTCGCGAGGGGGCATGTATGGGGCCAGGGCGCGGGATGTGGACTTGTACGTTGCCGTGGCTTGCCAGGTTAGTACGCGCTGCAGCTTGCCTCGGGGGAGCCCGACACGGTGGAAACGCGCGCGGCTTGAGCTCGTGCCTGCATCTCTCTGCTGAGTGTGCGGAGCGCGAGGGGCCTGGAGGCCCGAGCCGAGGGCCGACAACAGAGCGTGCATGTCTGGATGCCCCGACGTCGAGGCGACAGTGCCCCGCTGCACGTTCACCCGCTCTCCTCCTCATCCTCCTCCTCCTCCTCCTCCTCCTCCTCCTCCTCCTCCTCCTCCTCCTCCTCTGGTACGCTGGGCTCCTCCTCATCCTCCTCCTCCTCCTCCTCCCCCTCCTCCTCCTCCTCCTCCTCCTCCTCCTCCTCCTCCTCCTCCTCCTCCTCCTCCTCCCTCCTCCTCCTCCTCCTCCTCCTCCCTCCTCCTCCTCCTCCTCCTCCTCCTCCTCCTCCTCCTCCTCCTCCTCCTCCCCCTCCCCCTCCTCCTCCTCCTCCTCCTCCTCCTCCTCCTCCTTTTCCTCGGGCCCCGTCGTGCCCCACTCTCCTTCGCGGCCCCCGCGAGCGAACCTGGCGGCCTTGCCGAGGCTGTGCCTCCTCCTCGAGGCGCACCTCGAGGGCTGCCTGAACGTGACCGAGCTCAAGGCCCGCGCCCTCGCATCGCGCCTCCTTCTCTCGGGCGAAGAGAACGATGCACATGCACCGATCCTGGCAAGGCCCACCCTTGGCCCCAGGATCGGTGCACATGCCTTCCTGGCCAAGGCAAGAGGGCGTACGCACCGATCCTGGGCCCAGGATGGGCCTGGCCCAAAGCTCTTTTTCCTTTCTTCTCCTGGGAGAACGCGGAGGAGGAGGAGGAGGAGAGGTGATAGAGCCCAGACCTTCTGACGCGGGGGGAGAGCAGCAGGCAGGAGAAGGCGATGGACATCGGGGAGGAAGGGCAGGAGAAGAGGAATGGAGATTGGGGGGGGGAAGCCCGACTGAGTCGAGGACCGCTCGCACCGTGCTCCCTCCCCATACCTGTCCACGATCCTCCTCCCTCCACGATGCGGCGCGATCCTCTGACCCCATCTACTCGGACCCCATCTGGAGGAGGCCTCAAGCCATACCCCCGCGAACCTCCCCAAGCGGCAGTTAGACGTGATCACCCCAGACACTATGCATGCCCGGCCGCAGGCCTTCCTGCGGAAGCCCGAGGAGCCCGACGACGCGGCCGCCCAGAAGCTGAGGCGGGCCCCAGGCGAGCGGCCGTCAAGGGGAAGGGCAGCTTGGGAGGAGGGGGCAATACGAAGCCAGGACGAGGACACGTTCGGGTGAGGGAAGATCGAGAAGCTCTGAGATCCGGAACTCTGGAGGATGTGTCGGGCGCCGCGGCCTTCTCAGAGCGTTCCACAACGCTCTGAGAGCGTTCCGGAACGCCCTGGAACCGAGTTATCCTCGTCCTAGCCCCGTCCAAAGGGGGGGGGGTCGTGGTAGGGGGGGGGGGTCAGGGTGCGACTTCGGCTTGTGCGCGCAGACTGCTCCCCCAGGTAGGCCTTGCTGGTCTCGACAGGCCCCCCGGGTAGCCCTGGGCGACCTCGGCACCTCGAAGCGCCCCAGGGGCTCGCCGGAGGCGGTGCCGGGGCGCTGGCCGAGGCCGCACTGGGCTGACCGGGAGGCCTGCTGAGGCCAGCCAGGACTGCCGCAGGGCTCGAGCTGAACGGGGTCTTGTTGGCGGTGTCGTGGGCCGCTTTCGCTTTGGTGTCGTTGCGCTGCCAAGGCAGAACGAAGTCGGAACGAAGGAGCACGAACACAGCGCGAAAGCAACAGTGTCGAGCTCGAGCCCCTGGGGCTTCCTTGTGGGGACTGCCTGCGCGCAGCCCGAAGCCTTGCCAGGGGATCAGGGGGGGGAGCCGTGTCGCCTGCCCAAGCCAGTCCCAATGAGCCTTCGGAAAGGTCCTGTGCCCTCTCGAAGGTCCTCTCCAATCAAGTCCGACTGTCGGGGATCGACTACAGAGCTGATGCACCTCGGCATTGATTTCTCGCCGAAGCTACAAACCAACTACGCAGGATATGTACTCAGTCGATCTACATTGTACGCATTTGTGCTGTAGATTCCGCCGGAAATCGATTTGGGGGTACGTCGGTTCTGCAGTCGATCCCCTACTCGAGGATCCCCGGGCCTCCGGGCGAGCCCCGAGACGCCGCGCAGGTGGTTTGTTGGGTCGGTCGGGATGCGGGTCGGGTTGGCGGGCTTCGCCGAGCGGGCGAGAGCAGCGTCGCCTGGCGCCAGCGCCTGGTCGCCCCTTCGCTTGCAGAGTCGTGTGGCTGCTGTCCACGCGCTGCAATTTCGCCTTTGCCGCTAGTCGACCCGCCCCACCATAGCGGCATTGCGGCTCCACGGTAGCCCTCGCCTCTCTCGTCGTCTCGTCCTCTTCCTCCTCCTCCGCCTCCTCCTCCTCCTCCTCCTCCTCCTCCTCCTCCTCCTCCTCCCCCTCCTCCTCCTCCTCCTCTTTCTCCTCCTCCTTCTCCCCTTGTTTCACGACCTCCCAGCTGCGCATTGATGTGACATGCTCAAGTTATGCAGGCTTGTTGCATCGTGTTGGCGTCGTGGCCAAAACATGTGGAATCGTGTGGTTCATCAGGTTCGTCGAATTGTGACGAATTGTGAGTGTCGTCAGAGCTAGCGCGCCAGAGACAGGGTGCCCCGTACTAGTCTCGGGCTCCAGGGTATTGCGCGTCCGTGGGCGTCAGTGTTCACAGCGTTCCCGGCTCCCGGAGCGGAGTTTCGGCGGAGTGGCGCCTTTTCCATGGGCACCCACTCCTGGAACGGTCATGTAAATGTCTTTGAGATGAATGTTGCGCGGCCGCTCGCACGGGTCCTTCAGTGGTGCACGATGCAACGGACACAACGCCCCGTAAGTCAGTGCGGATGGAACTTCCAGGCGCAGAGAGAGAGAGAGAGATAGCCCTTTGGTGCCGCCCCGTCAGCCTCGCCATCTTCCCAAGATTGCCACGCCAGGCTGTGCGCGACGCCCTGTACCCTGGGCAAACGCCCCGTGTCCTGGAGAAGCCTGGGCCCTTCTTGCGAGTGGCCGGCTCTTCTCCCCCCCGGAGGCACGACGCGGGGCGGCGTGGCGCGCCCGCCTGTGGCGGACGTGGCCTCGACACCCCGCGGCGAGCTCGCCTCGCGGGCCAAAGGGGGGGGAGGAGGAGGAGGAGGAGGAGGAGGAGGAGGAGGAGGAGGAGGAGGAGGATAGGAGGAGGAGGAGGAGGAGGAGGAGGAGGAGGAGGGAGGAGGAGGAGGAGGAGGAGGGAGGAGGAGGAGGAGGAGGAGGAGGAGGAGGAGGAGGAGGAGGAGGAGGAGGAGGAGGAGGAGGAGGAGGAGGAGAGGAGGAGGAGGAGGAGGCGGAGGAGGAGGAGGAGGAGGAGGAGGAGGAAGGAGGAGGAGGAGGAGGAGGAGGAGGAGGAGGAGGAGGAGGAGGAGAAGTGGGGGGGAGGAGGAGGAGGAGGAGGAGGAGGAGGAGGAGGAGGAGGAGGAGGAGGAGGAGGAGGAGGAGGAGGAGGAGGAGGAGGAGGAGGAGGAGGAGGAGGAGGAGGAGGAGGAGGAGGAGGGGGGAGGAGGAGGAGGAGGAGGAGGAGGAGGAGGAGGAGGAGGAGGAGGAGGAGGAGGAGGAGGAGGAGGAGGAGGAGGAGGAGGAGGAGGAGGCGGAGGCGGAGGCGGAGGCGGAGGCGGAGGCGGAGGCGGAGGAGGAGGAGGAGGAGGAGGAGGGAGGAGGAGGGAGGCGGAGGAAGGAGGAGGAGGAGGAGGAGGAGGAGGAGGAGGAGAGGAGGAGGAGGAGGAGGAGGAGGAGGACGAGGAGGAGGAGGAGGAGGAGGAGGAGGAGGAGGAGGGCAGGAGGACGAGGAGGAGGAGGAGGAGGAGGAGGAGGAGGAGGAGAAGGAGGAGGAGGAGTAGGAGGACGAGGAGGAGGAGGAGGAGGAGGAGGAGGAGGAGGAGGACGAGGAGGGGGCAGCTGACGGCGCTCACGGGACTTTCGTATGTGTTCCGTGAGATTCTGAGTTTCGCTCGTGACCGTTGCTTGTTGGAGTGTTTGTGTTGTGTGTGCGGTTGTTCTCGCGATTCCGCTTCCTGCGCTGTTCGTCTGCTGTTTGGAGGTCCCCATCGGACTGGACCATGGTTGCCAGCTCTACACTCGCTGTAATGCAAGGTTGCGGAGTTGCTTTGCACGCGTCCCGCCCTCGCTTAACTTACGTTACGCGCTGATTGTTGTAACCGGCGCGTCGGAGGAAGGGTGTGTGTGTGTGTGTGTGTGTGCGTGTGTGTGTGTGTGTGAGTATGTGTGTGTGCGTCTGTGTATGTGTATGTGTCTGCGCGTGTGCGTTTGCGTTTGTGCGCGTGTTTGTGTGTTTGTGTGTATGCGTGCGCGTGTGTGTGTGTCATCTGCTGTTCGCGCTTGAGAACCCTCTGCGCCGCCAACTTGAAAGTGTGTTCTTGTGTGTGTGCGTGCGTGTGCGTGTGTGTGTGTGTGTGTGTGAGTGTGTGCGGTTGGGCGAGAGGGTGCGGCCAGGTCTTAAAGACAAGGCATTCCCACCCACGGCTAAAGCCCCCCTCGTTCGCACAGGGCGAGGGCCAGAGAGCTAAGAGGGAGCACATGAGAGAAACAGAAGCAAGCGAGAGTCTTGAATAGATGCGTTACAGTCAGTCAGTCCGCATAGTAAGGACGAGCGACTTTCCAAGGTTACCCTTGCATCCGTCCCTTTTGGCTCATCCTTTATCGCCTTCGCTCGCCGCGCCCCACCCGCAAAGTGTCAGCATGGCCGTCCAAGGCCCTTGCATCCTCATCGCGCGTCCTGGTTATACGGGTTGACTGTATGATCCGTCAGTCAGGGTCTCCCTCAGAGTGGCGATGTTGGGGAGAACGGCGGGGGGAGCATGATGCTCCCGAATCGCCAGCAGTTTCTAGAAGAGCTTCTAAGCTGTGCGCGTCCAGGTTCCCTGAGTGTCCGCTTGCACCGGTTGTGTTCATCTACCGTTGGTGAGAAAATCGTCCTGGGTCTCTGCGCCTACAAACATGTAGATATGGATGTTGCGGAGACCAGCGTGGCTAGCAGGGCTTCCATTTAGCCCCAGCCTTTGCGTGCGAGCATGCAAATGGAACAATTCCTCAGGCAAGAAGTGTGTACAGCAGGCTTTATACGTGTAATGTGTCCTGGGGTACGCGGGGGACGCCAGGGTTCACCAAAGACCAGAACAGGAACGCAGTGCTGAAGTGTTCCCGATTTTGAGCGTTTGCTCCGTAGAGCATCACCATGCGAGCGCGGGGAAAACAGCTGACCCGAGACCTCATGGTGAAGCTGCTCAATCTTGCGGTCGACTGGCTGCACAGGCTGCTGCCGCACATACTGAGCAAGGCGTCGCGTGAGAAATATATGGGCTGCACGGGGGTGGCGTGGGCTGATGAGGATCCTCTTCACCGTCTCAGCGCAAAATGATCATTCCTCCAGCAGGAAAGACGCCGCAGTGGCAGTGTTTGCTTCTGCGCTATTGTCTTGCGTGTTTTTGCCCTGTGCGTATTGGCTTCTGGGTGACAGCCTTGTGATCTTTCAGAGGTCGTGAGTGTGTTGGCGTCATTTGGCTTCCAAGTTATGCGTGCAGCAGAGGTGAGGACAGGAAGTAGGATGGGAAGATAAGTCAAGAAGAAGAGGTGGAGGAGGATGAGAGAAGCAGAGAATACGATTCGATGTCATGCGTCCCATGGCGCCCGCACAGACGTACACGCACACACACACACAGGCACACACCAGAGCTGTCGAAACCTTCGCTGTAAAACACATCTTTCCTTGGATGTCGGGCGAGTATTAGTCATGGGTTCGAGGCGTACTGCTCTGATCCTCCCGGCGTAATCTGACAGCTCATTATTCACATGTTGTAAGTATCTTCGGAAGCGCGATGGCTCCAATTACGGAACTCCTGCGCGTGTTCGAATCCCGAGGTGAAATATGGCGTTTCTTCTTCGAACCCCCTTCTTGCCCAGGTCGAGGTTTACCTTTCCCCCTGCCCCACCCGGGGCTCTCCTGGGGTCCCCTGGGGCCTCTTCATCTTGGGCCCCCCTGAGATCCTCGGGGACGATACAGGATGCCTCTTGGGCCGCCCTGGACGCTAAGACTGAGGATCGGACATCTAGAAACCTACGAGATTTCGACGCTGGTGGCCTCCCGAGGCCTCTGTGGGGGCCCTCGTGGAGGACTCTAGAGTCGTCTTGTGGCGATCTGGAGGCCTCTGTGAGGGCTATTGGAAGCTCTCTATGGAGCATCTTGAACCATCGCGTGTTATCTTGATTGTAATGTAGGAGTGTGCCCTGCCTTGCAGAAGCCATCGCGAAGGCCGCACACGCCGTTTCAGTGGCCGCGTGTCGACTAGAGGAGTGGGTCCGATGTATTTGGGGAATGTGTCTCCCCTGAATCTGGACGGCGGGGGGCCTGGTAGTTCAAGCGTCCAGAATACAGTCAACCCGCACAGTAAGGATGAGCGACTTTCCAAGGTTACCCTTGCATCCGACCCTTTCGGCCCATCCTTCGCCGCTTTCGCTTGCCGCGCCCCACCCGCAAAGTGTCGGCATGGCCTTCCAAGGCCAGTGCATTTTTATCGTGCGTTCTAACTATACGGGTTGACTGTAAACCGGGATAGCTACAAGATGGCTCTAGGTAGCCTGAGATGGCATCCAAGATGGCACCATATGTCCAAAAATGTCTGAAGATGACCTCCAACATGCCTCCAAGAGACCCCAAGGCGGCCCAGAGGCGACCCCAAGTTGGGGATCACATAGTCCCAGCATGGCCCTGTAAAGGTCCCAAGAGCGCCCCAAGAAGGCCCCACGAGGCGTTCGGGCTTGGACTGGGCGAGGATGCTTAGTGCCGCCCGTACTCTTTTTCACCGATGTCGTTCAAGATGGCTCCAAGAGAGCCCTCCATGGCTTGCAAGAAAGACCGCAGCGAGACTCGACAGCTTCCAAAATTGCCCCGATAGCGCCCCCCGTCCACCACACACACGTGTATATATATATATGTATATACACACAAGACTGCATTGGCACTTCGCGTCATGCACCTTGGTCCTTGAAGTTTGGCATGCAGGCGGGATATCGTCGCCGTCGTCGCCGTCTCCGCCATCATCGTCGTTGTCGTCGTCGTCATCACCGTCGTCGTCGCCGTCGTCGTCGTCATTGTCGTCGTCCCCTCATCCCATCTGGGGGCGAGGGCCGAGGAATCCCGGGACCCATTCCATCTGGGAGGGTGGGGGTGGGGGCGTGGGTCCTAAGCCCGGGATCAAAAATGGCCCAAGTAGGTCTTCCGGAGTTTCCCGAATGGAAAGATCGACGACGGCCTGTATTGTTGACTCCTGGGTGTTCCCGGGCTGATCCGAATCTTCTGTTTGACGGCTGGCCTCTCTGTTTCACTGCACCTTCCTACGCTTCCCTGCCCAGTGCAACTCGCCTGGCGACCGTTTCTGGACGGGCTGGCGAGGACGCGCGAAGCGTCAGCAATTGTCCTCAACGGTCTGACTCTCCGTCGTCCGATCTAGGGGTTCGATAGATCATCCGTCCCCGAATGTGTCAGCAGGAGGTCGCGATTGCGCGCCAGCTCCAGATGGCCCAAACCCTAGAACTGTCGTTAGTGCCTGCTGGCAGGCCGTCGACAGGCACGCACGATGCATTCAAGAAAGGGCTTCGTTTTCGAGGGCCGAAGGGGTTGCAATCTCTTCCTTGCCGGAAGGCGGCGGAAGGCGGTGGAGGTATCACGAGGCTTGGCATCGCTCGGTCGTGTGCACTTTTTCTCGGCGGGAATCATTGAGGAGCATCCTGGATCATCCTGCGAAAAAAAAGCCACGCACGAGACCGCAAAAAGCATAGGGAATGGACGTCCGAGCGATGGCCAGGAGGCCGCATCCGCCGGCGGAAGCCCGGCGAAGGGCAGGCTGTCGCTGGCGGAAGTAAAAAGTCGGCCTCCAAATAGATGGCAGTCGTCATGGCTGCAGTTTGAAGTTCCCGCGCCTTGCATTTCAAATCGATTATTTGCTGCTTGTGGATCCCTGGGGCGATGGTTTCAAGTGGAGGGACCTTGCGTGCAGGGACAGCAGCATATCCAAGGCGAGTCAGCCTGCCGGCCGGCCCGTCCTCCTCCTCCTCCTCCTCCTCCTCCTTCTCCTCCTCCTCCTCCTCCTCCTCCTCCTCCTCCTCCTCCTCCCCTTTTCCCCTGCTTTTTTTGTTTTTGTTTTGCAGACCTGCCGGCGCCGAGGCACCGCCGCCCCGCCCCCGCGTAGGGCCGTCCCTCGTGGCGTGGGGGCGCAGGGTCAGCGTCAGGGTCAGTGGGGCGATGCCGCACAAGAGTGTCCGCGTGCACCTCCCGGCCCATGGAGCCGGCAGCAGCGTGCCCCGACCCCGTAGGGCCGTCCCTCGTGGCGTGGGGGCGCAGGGTCAGCGTCGGGGTCCGTGAGGCGATGCCTCACAAGAGTGTCCGCGTGTACCTCTGTGGGCCCCGGACACGGCAGGGCCGGTTCTTCACCGTTTCCGAAAAGGTGCCCCTTGACAATGGAAACGGCAAAAAACGGCGACCAGAAACAGCAACAAAACACAAAACCGGCTCCAGGATTGGAGCCGGAGCCGGAACCGGTCAAAGAACGGCGACGGAACCGGTAGAAAAACGGCGTCGGAACCGGCAAAAAAATAGCAAAACAGAACCGGTAACAAAAACGGCCCTGTCGTTTCCAGGGCCCACTAAGCACGGCGTGCACCTCCCAAACCCTGGAGCTGGCAGCATGCCGTGCGACGTTGCCCTGCGGCCCCCGCAGCCCCCCCAGCCTTGGGCGCTGCAGCCGTGCCTCGGCGGCGTGCCCGTCCTGCTCCAGTCGCGGCGAATCCCGGCCTGGGACCACCTCCTCCCTGCTCGGCAGGTGCTCGGCCAGGACTTTTCCCTGTGGGCCGCACGTCCGCTTCGTGGCCTATACAGTGGTTCCTCCTCTCCGTGCATCGCCTCCCGCCTCGAAGTAGCCTCCCTCGCTCTTCCCCCCCACTCCTCGCATTTCCCCCCTCGCGAGGGGGAGGAGGAGGAGGAGGAGGAGGAGGAGGAGGAGGAGGAGGAGGAGGAGGAGCAGAGGAGCAGGAGCAGGAGCAGGAGGAGGAGCATGAGCAGGAACTCCGTCTCCTCCTCCTCCTCTCCTCCTCCTCCTCCTCCTCCTCCTCCTCCTCCTCCCCTCCTCTGGAGAGCCCTCAGGCCCCCTACTGACCTCTGGCAGGGCCACGCGCCTGCCCTCGAGGGCATCGGCAGTGCCCAGCAGTCCTTCCTGCACCTCCCTTCCTCCTGTGAGAGGCAACGAGAATTGAGCTGGGCCCGTCCCTGTACAGGGTGAATTCAAAATAGTCAAGAAGTAGTCTGGGGATTATTTTTTGAGCATCATGTGGCATCTTTTGGGCATTTTTGGTGTATTTTTTGCTTCTCGCGCAAAATCCCCCTGTAGGGGGACAGGCCCGACCTAAAACGAGAAGGGGGGACCAGTTCTCGGCGGCGAGCGAGGGTCAGCCACGCGCAGAAGGGGGAGGGGGAAGGAGGGAGGGCTTCTTAGAAGCACCCCTGCTTCTCAGAAGCTGCGGGCCGTATCTGTAGATGTAAGGCCCGCGCCTTCTAAGAAGCAGCCTCCTTCTAAGAAGCCCCCCCCTTCCCTCCACCCCCTCGTGCGCGCCGCCAAGAGGGGCGGAAGAGCCGAAGAAGAAAGAAAAGCCGTGTCCGCGCGCATCTTGGATCTGCGCCGGGCCTCCCCCGGCGGTGCCTCCGGCGCCGCCCCTGGCTCCGCGCGCCAGGGAGGGGGTCCAGCGCAGATCCAAGGAGCCCGCGCGGAGCGCCAACCGTTTATGTGTTTATGCCGCTTTTTCTCCTTCTAGAGAGGGCGGGCGGGGCCAGGACGAGGTTTGAAAGGGGACGCATCGACCCCCAGTCGCCCAGTCCTCGCCGAGGGTGGGCCCGACAGCCCACCCCGCCCAGGAACGGTGATTCTTAACCGTGAGAAAACACATGTTAACCATGAGAAAAACAATACGTAAACACAACACGCAAAAACAATACGTAAACGTGAGAAACAACAACAACAACAACAACAACAACGACAACAACAACAACAATCATTTTACCCGAACGCTCAGTGTTCTCACCAGTGCCAGGGTTTTCATACGACGCCCGCCAATACCCCCACTTTGTGGGGGGGCCGGTTCAAGCTCTACCACATTTCCAAACGACTCTTCGCCACCACCCACACCCAGCTTCCCGCCCTATGACGTTCGGACACTTCACTTCGTGGCATGCGGACGACCGTGGCTACTACACTGGCGCATGGTTTCAATGACTTCTTGTGGTAACATCTTGTGGAAACTAGCTTAGTATACGACGACGACGATTTGAAGGGCCTACGGTGCGAAAAATGATTTTATGTTGCGCGGTGCTAAAATTCCTACGAAACCCAATGGTTTTTGAAGATTTCGGCGTGCGCACGGAAAGAAAAAACGAATGTGTCCCGCATGGTATTATTTGACAGGGATGATGGCCCTGGCAGGTGCGCAACCGTTGTTGGAGAAGTTCGAAGCACGTGAAGAAGTTGATCGCAAAAGCCCGTTTGACAGAAATGTTTAAAAAAGTTGGGTTTCCTGCAAATCCGCAAGAGCGCGCGGGATGAAATTGTGACACTTTTTTTTTTTTTTTTAAAAAAAAAAAAAAAAAAAAAAAAAAAAAAAAAAAAAAAAAAAAAAAAAAAAACCATTGGTTTTTTGATGTTTTTATGTTGAAATCGCTACGAACACTAAGGTTTTGGAAGGATTTCGTCTTGCGCGCGCGAATGTCCACTTTACCTTATTTTTTGCAAGGGATTCTTGAAGTTTGGTTATTTTAGAACAAGAAATTTCATTTTATAGTGTTTTTTGCAAGGGACAGCGGGGGGGAACAAAACAACCGGATCTTGATGACATCGTATTACCTGAGGCTTCCTCACGAAAATGATGAAAATGTAGCTGCGGCCTAGGCGCGGCGAGGGGGTCGCGCACCAGGGGTCCCAACAATAATTATTCTTTAGAATAAATAATGTTCAACAATTACTAGCACGTGGGGACACTCCGTTCTCACCAGTGCCAGGGTTTTCATAGGAGGCGGGCAATACCCCCACTTTGTGGGGGGGCCGGTTCAAGCTCTACCAAATTTCCAAACGACTCTTCGCCACCACCCACACCCAGCTTCCCGCCCTATGACGTTCGGACACTTCACTTCGTGGCATGCGGACGACCGTGGCTACTATTCAGGGCCCCGCGGCCGACGACGACGGCGTGCGCGCGCGAAGAAAAAACGAATGTGTCCCGCATGGTATTATTTGACAGGGATGATGGCCCTGGCAGGTGCGCAACCGTTGTTGCAGAAGTTCGAAAAAGTTGCTCGCAAAAGCCCGTTTGACAGAAATGTTTAAAAAGTGTTGGGTTTCCTACGAATCCGCAAGAGCGCGCGGGATGAAATTTTGACATTTTTTTGTTGAAAAACCATTGGTTTTTTGATGTTTTTATGTTAAAATCGCTACGAAACTAAGGTTTTGGAAGGATTTCGTCTTGCGCGCGCGAATGTCCACTTTACCTTATTTGTTGCAAGGGATTCTTGAAGTTTGGTTATGTTAGAACAAGAAATGTCCACTTTAGCTTATTTTTTGCAAGGGAAAACCGATCGTAACAACACAACCGGATCCGGACCAACCCGTTTTGCCTGAGACTTCCTCACGAAAATGATGAAAATGAGGCTGCGGCCTAGGCGCGGCGGGGGGGTCGTGCACCAGGGGCCCCAACAATAATTATTCTTTAGAAGTAATAATGTTCAGCAACAACAACAACACCACCACCAACAACAACAACAACAAAGACAACAACAACAACAACAACAACAACACGTAAAACAACAACACGTAAAAACAACACGTAAAAACCTCCGCCCAGGAGCGTGCGGTGTCGCTGGCGGAGGCCCGTCGCAGATCTCGCGGCGGCGCACCGCCGACTCCCGGTCGATGCTTCCCCCCCCACCCCCCTGACTTGGCATCGCTCGGACGTGTGCATGTCTTCCCCGGCGAGGACCATCGAGGAGCGTCTAGGGAGGGCCACCTCGCGGAGAAATGCCCGCGCGAAATCAGACAACGCACGGGGAGTGGCCGTCCGAGCGATGGCGAGCTGAGCCAATCCCCCCGAATCGGCCGGGGCCAGGACGAGGAAAAATCCGATCCGGAGCGTTCCGGAACGCCATCAGAGCGCTCCGCAACGCTTTGAGCAGGCCGCGGCGCCCGCGACGTCCTCCAGATCCGCCGGCGCTCAGAGCTTCTCGATTGATCCTCACCCGACGCTGTTCTCGTCCCAGCCTCGTCTCGCCCAATGCTCCCCCTCCGAGGTGCACCGCGTCTCGTACGGCCTCCTCGGCCCCGAGCACATCAGCGCGACCACCCCGAAGTCGCGGATCCTCTTGGCCGTGCCTTTCGTCGGCAAGGACCGGCCCAGCGACCAGGCCCTGTGGCGGCGAGCGCCCTCGGCCCCCTCGCAGGGCAGGGCCAGGGAGGCAAGCCGACGCCCTGACGTCGGGGCGATGCGAAGAAGCGATGGCCCCAGGCTTAAGTCGGGCCTGTCCCTCTACAGGAGGAACATTCAAATATAGTCAAAAAATAGTATGGGTACCATTCTTTGATTTTTTTTAAGCATTCGGGGAGTATTGTTTGCAAGTGTGTTTCATTTTTCACCCAAAATCCGCTTGTAGGGGGACAGGCCCGGCCTACTCCCAGGCTCAGGCATGCTCTCGCGTGGTGGACAAATCAAGACGGGAGGGCTTTCGTCGTTTTCAGCCTCTGGAGGCCCTCACCTCCAGGCCTCCTGGATGGGGTCGGAGTAGGTGGGGTCGGAGGATCGCGCCGCATCGGCGATGCATCGGCGATGCATCGGCGATGCGGCTCGATGTGGAGCCCGATGCTCTCCATGCCGACGTCGCCGATGCATCGCTGATGCATCGGCGATGCCTTGGCGATGCGGCGCGATCCTCCGACCCCATCTACGCGGACCCCAGCTAGGAGGCCTTCACTGAACGGGCAGGAGGCCCCACCTAGGAGGTCCACGGGACCGTCAACAGAACGACTCGGGATGAAACACTGGTCCCGGGGAGAGGGTCTAGACCTCCAGCGTCGCATATCTCGGGGGCGGCAAAGAGGGGGGTGATGCCTAGGGGGGGTTGGATTTCATGGCGGGGGCCATCATACTTCCTCAGATCTCATGGCGCCTCTTCTTACTTCATTACGTCCCTGGCCCCCCCGCTGGGCCGCGCACATGCCGCCGGTGATGATTTGCACCCCCCCCCTCTCTTGGACACCCCCCTCTCGGCCGCTCCCGAGGCCTCCTGCGTCGCACATCTGGGACGTCCTCGCGTCGGACTCCGGGCCCCGCCCTCCGAGCAGAACAAGAGTGCCAATATATCCCCGCCCTTCCCTCGCTTTCGCTTCGTCGGGCCTGCAGAGGGGGCCCTCGTTGCCACGGCTTTCATGCGCCTCGCGCCCAGGGAGGAGGTGCGGGGAGGAGCGGTATGTGGGTATATGTTGGGTGTCCTCGGTCACGGAGAATTGGATCTGGCAGCGACTCGTCGCGCATATAGTCCAAGTGCAGAATTCCTGTTTTGCGATTTTTGTGGCATCGTGATTTTTTAACGGCGTCAGCTAGCTGTCTGGGCACGGCAGCACCGGATGGGCTGAATTTCGGTACGAACTCAAGCTCGTGGGGTTTGATGTGGTCGATAAGTGGTCATACGCGCAGCCCTCGCAGTGCCTTGAACATTAGCCCAGGATGACAGGACGATCCTGTGGCTTGCTGCTTTGGAGAAGCCTATGACGCCGCGCAGCCGTCTGTCTGATGATGGTGACGTTCATTGCTTCGTGCGCATATGATTCGCAGTCAGTGCGGTAGTCCAGACATCAGCCCGCACTCGGTTGCCCATGCTGGATTTCCTCACAGCCCCTGTCGACAAGGATTGACCGTGGAAACTTCTTGTGCTGTGAAACCATGCGCACCCTGAAGACAAATATGTCGTCTCGAAGATTCGTCACTTATTGCGAAGGCCTTACGGCTGGTGCCGCCGACCCTGAAAGGGGGACATCCCCCAGGACCCCCGCTGGCGATCCCCCCCAGTACCCTAGGGGGCGGTATTCTGACCCGGGAAAACCCCCCGGGGACCCCCCGCAGGCAGGGAAGGTACCAAGGGAAGGGCTTCCCTTCGACTTAACTGCGACGTTCCTTTTCTTTGTTCCTCATTTCCTCGGGACTGACAAAACGACGACGACAACGCCGCTGACGACGACGACGACGACGACGATTACGACGACGAGGAGGACGACGACGACGACGAGGACGACGAGGACGACGACGACGACGGTGACGACGCCGACGACGACGACGACGACGACGACGACGACGACGACCACCACGACCACGACGACGACGACGGTGACGACGACGCCGACGACCACGACGACGACGGTGACGACGACGCCGACGACGCCGACGACGCCGACGACGACGACGACGACCACGAGGACGGTGACGACGACGGCGACGAAGACGACGACGGCGGCGGTGACGACGACAACGACGACGACGACGACAATGACGCAGACGACGACGACGACGACGACGACGGTGTTTCCACACGCCGCAGGGCCGGTGGGTTCTGATTGACTCCCCGGACGGTGCTTGCCCTTCGGGGTCTCATAAGGCAGAGGGGTGCGTTTCCCTTTGGGCCGTGGGCGGCCGGCCCGCTCTTGCGCGCCTCGTTTGCGCTCCGTGCGCGCCAGGCCGGTCCCCCGAGGACTCGCCGCGCGGGCGCCCACGGGGCGCCAGAGGTCGGGCGTGGATGTCCCGTGGGCGCCCCGTGCACGAGGGGGGGGGTCGGCCTCCTATGGGCTTCTTCGCCGCGCTGGCGCCCGTGGCCTCCTCGTGGGCGCCTCGTGGGCGCCCCGTGGGGTCGGTGGGTCCCCCCGAGTTTCGCCGCGCCGGCGCTCCTGCCCGCACGCGGGCGCCCCGTGGGCGCCCCGTGCGCGGGGCGGGTTCCCCGGGCTTCGCCTGCCGTGCGCGCCCCGTGCGCTGGGGAGGTCCCCCTTCAGGTTTCGCCCCTCTGGCGCTCGTGGGCGCCACGTGGGCGCCCTCTGCGCTTACGCCACACAGCTTGCACAACACAGCTTGCACCACATAGCTTGCGCCGCACGGCTTTCAACGCACAGCTCACACAAAGCTCGCGCCACATAGTTTGTTTACACAGCATAGCTTGCACCACACGATTTGCACTGTTTGGCTTTAACCACATCGGCCACACCACGTACATTGCACAACGTAGCTCGCCCCAGATAGCTAGTTGCCTTTGCTCAAGCCGTGCTTCGCTTGGGCCCACGCCGTCCTCGGGATGGCCGCTGGGGCCGCCGCGCGTGCTGACGCTGGCGACGCGGGTGCGGCGCGCCGCAGGGCCCTGGGGGCGGCCCGCGGCGCGCTGCTGGCGGCGCACGCCGCCAGCGGCCTCGCAGGAGCGGCGGGGTCCCGAAACGGGACCCGCCTCCTGCGGGCCGCCGAGGGCCTCCTCCGCGCGGCCCTCGCGGAGCTCGGCACGCGGGCCGCGCCCGCCCCTCCGGAGCCGGCAGCCGCGGCCCGCCCTCGAGGCGGCGCCGCCGGCCGGCCGCGCGGCCGTTCGGGGCGAGGCGCTGGGGCCCCGCCTGGCGTGCCGGGTGCCCGCGACGGCGCCGCGGAGGAGGTGCGGAAGGTGCAGAACCGGCTGGTGGAGCGCAGGGCGGGGCCCCAGGCGCGACGGCAGCGGCGCGGGCTCGGCGGCGGCGACGCCGCGCGCGGCTTGCGAGGGCGTCGACGGCTGCGTCGGCGGTGGGCGGGGGGGCGCTCCCTCCCGTTGCGGCGGCTGGTGCTGCTTCGGCTGCCGAGCCGACGGGCGACGACGACGACGACGACCCCCTGGAGGACTCCTGGGCGGACAGGGCGGTGGTGCCCGCCGCGTCGGGACCTGGCAGTGGCGCGGCGGCCGCTGCTGGCATGCCCCCTGTTCGTGCGGCCGGCGTGGAGATAAGACGGCGACGGCGGCGGCGAAGCAGGGGGGGCGGCCGCGAGCGAAGCGGCTGGAGCCTGCGGAGCGGCCGCAAGCGGCGGGGCAGTTGCTGCAAGGGCGCGCGTGGGCCTCGAGCTCGTGCGCGTGCCGCTGGGAGGCGGGCCCGACGCGGAGTGCGAGGACGGGAAGATGGAGCCGTCGCCTCCTGTCGGCGGCGCCGCGGGCTGGGCCACGTGGCCGCCCCCGCGGGGCGCGGGGGGGCGCGCGGCGGCGGGCCCCATGGCTGGGCGCTCGGGCCGTATGCAGAACAGCGGCACCAGCATGGCGGCCGTCCGCTTCGACCCGATTGGGCGGGGAAACGCGGCCAAGGATAAGTCCAAGGACGTGGCGGTGAGCCTCGTGGACATCGAGTACGTCGGGGACTGAGCGAGTGGGCTCCCGAGGGAGCCTACGAACCGTGCGGTCGGTCGCGCAGAGCCCGGCTGCGTGGTCAGTAGGAAGCAAAAGCTCACGCCAGATAGCTCTCACCAGATGAGGCGTTCTAGAGGGGACCTGGCCTTCGAGGATCGAAGGAATTGCCGTCTCTTCCCCGGCGGCTTGTCGGGGAAGGCGGTGGAAGTAAAACAAGAGCGCCTTCGAAGTCGGAAGCCGGTGGAAGGTCGGCGGAAGCCGGCGAAAGTAAGCATCGGCTTCCCGAGAGATGGCATGTTTTTGCGGGGTCCAGGTTTGACGGGACCGGCAACGTAGCCAGCCACCATAGCGTGCACCACGCAGCTTGTGCAACATAGCTCAAGCCACATAGCTCTCACTATATAGCTTACACGACATAGCTTACACAACATGGCCGCACCAATTAGCTCACACCATAAGCTTACACCGCAGATTTAAACCCCGTAGCTTTCCCCCAACATACCTTTGAGACCCCTCGTGCAATCACTCACTGGTTTGGGGGTCCACGATGGCTGACGCGGCGCCGTTTATTGTGGGCGTGGCGCCCTAAGTTACCAATGCCTCGCGGAACTGGAGGGTTTCCCCGACGGGCTTCGGCGACCCGTCCTCCTCCTCTTCCTCCTCCTCCTCCTTCCCCTCCTCCCTCCTCCTCCTCCTCCTCCTCCTCCTCCTCCTCCTCCTCTCCTCTCTCCTCTCTCCTGCTCCTCCTCCCCTTCCTCCTCCTCCTGCTCCTCCTCCTCCTCCTCCTCCTCCTCCTCCTCCTCCTCCTCCCTCTCCTCCTCCCTGTGCCCCTCCCCCTCCTCTTCCTCGTCCTCCTCGTCGGGTCGCCTACGGCTCCGGGGGGAGCTGTGCACGCAGAACCTCAGCCAGCGGCACAAGCTGTGCAGTGACGTCGCCCGCTGTCGCGTCGTCCTCTTCGTCCGTCGTTGTCCCTGAACCACCTTCGCTGGGCCCTTCTGTGCAAGCAGCAATAAACGCGCAGATGTGGCAGTTCTATATTTTCGGCCGCTGGCGCGGGCTGTGATTCCTGCGACCTTGGCATGAAGTCGGGCATGTCCCTTTACAGGCGGAATGCTCAAGAGTAGTAACAAATAGTCTGGGCACGATTTTTCGACGTCTTGTCGACGTTTCAACCTGCTTGGCTATATTGAATCTTGTCTTCCAAAATCCGCCTGTGGGAGGACATGCCCGACCGAAGGCTGGCAGGGGACGTCCTCGCCTTGGCCTGGACATGGGCCGCGAGGCCACGCGCTAACTGGGCGGCCGCGCGGCCCCAGAAACACGGAACGGGGCTGGTGGCACCACGGCCCGTGCCAAGGGTGGCGAAGGGCAGAGCACGAGTTCCCCGAAAATCTAGGCCCCCCAGGTGGGGTCGGAGGATCGCGCCGCATCGCCGATGCATCGCTGATGCGGCTCGATGTGGAGCCCGCCTTCTTTCACGTCGACGACGCCGATGCATCGCCGGCGTCGACGATGCGACGCTGGCGCATCCTCAATGCATCGCCGATGCGGCGCGACGCACCGGCCCCATCTACTCCGACCCCATCCACGAGGTCCCCAGAACAAAAGGGTGCCGTCGAAGGCGCGAAAAGTTATTTGCCCTTCGCGGTTCGGCGCCGATTCCTTCTCGCCTTCCTCGTCTCCCCATGGGGGGCAGCGCGAAAGAGCGCGAAGCTGCTCGCGTTCTCGCGCTGCGCGCAGCGCGAAGCGCAAAGTTGGGCGCTCTTGGGAAAGCTCGGGTTGCGAAGGCGGCCCACCAATTCGCAATGGCTACAGGGCCAGTGCATCCCGGCGTACAGTGCCACCATCATCATCAACATCCAGCGCACGACGTAGATACCATAACCGGTGGAGGAAGCCCATCTATTCCATGTGTGTCCGTTGCCCCTATGGTCGCTTCCGCCCAGGGTGGCCCACTCAGCTTCTATCTGGGCAACCTTGTGCATTGCACCATATGCCAGAATGTATGCCAACAAACTGCAGCACGTTGTGCTATACGACATGTGAAACCGAGCGGGCCCATCGAATTGTTAAACTATGATAAGCATCCTCACCACCACCGCCATTATCACCATCATCAGTATCAGCATCAGCATCATCATCATCATCACCATCACCATCCCCATCATCATACTCCTTGTTGTCATCACCACCATCATCAAAATCATCATCATCATCACCATCATCATCATCTCATCATCATCATCATCATCATCGGTGTCATCGTCATCACCACCATCATCGTCATCATAATCCTTACCCTCATCCTCATCAACAGCATCATCATCATCCTCGTCGTCGTCATCGTCAGCATCGTCATCATCATCATCATCATCATCATCATCAACAACATCAGCATCATCACCATCGCCATTACCATCACCATCACCATCACCACCATCATCATCATCGTCGTCATCATCAGCATCATCTTATCGTCGTCATCATCATCAGCATCATCAGCATCATCATCATCCCCTCGTTTTCACCCTGAAGACTTTCATGGGAGCCCTGCATCTCACGTCCACCCCCATCCCGCATCCACCCTCGCACCCCTGCCGCTGCTCCTTCCTCGCACCCGTCACCCTCACCCTCCGCATGATCTGACGACGCTGGGGCTCTCGAGCGCTCTCCTTGAGCCTGCCACCGCCCTTCCCTGCGGCGTGTGTGCGCGCCACAGGCGGAGTTCTCGCACCCCGACGTGGCGACTGGCTTCACCATCATGGCCTACCGGATCTCGGGGATGAGGCTGGCCGACTTGAGGACCAACGGTTTCCGGGGGACGCTGGATCTGTCCCTCCCACCTGTACAGTGGCACAAAGCTTGCTCACTCGTCGTGCACGTCCTTCACGTCATGCATGCAGGTCGCACTGCTTTTGATTCTCCAAATCGTGCCCCGTCCGTTCACGGGCCAACCTGTTGGTTTGACCGGGTCTCTGCTACTGCTGGATCTGTCCAGGCCTGTCCTAAGGCCAGGGTGTTCAAGTCATCGAGCAGGGGATCGACTTGCATAATGGATTTGCCCAAACTTGATTGTTTCGTCGAGTCTACGGAACATGCGTACTTAAAATGCCCCGTAGATCTACAGAGCATTCTACGCACTCCCTCGTAGATTCGGCGGACAAATCAACCCTGAGATCCGACGTGGCAAAATAGTTGCAACATCGGAAAAATCACGACATGAGCCCGGGCCCCCATTTTTCTGCGTCGTTGTTCGCGCTGGATCGATCTGTGAGGGCCCGGGGCCCGAAACTGAGCGCAAACGCCCGTTGTGACAAAAACTGCAACGCCAGGATCTTAGGGGATTCTGGGGTGCACCAACTCTGTAGTCGTTCTCCTGCCATGCATGCCCGCCCGGCTTGGCCAAGAGGGGTCGCACGCGCCAACTCTTGCAGGTGACACGTCGGGCGCCGAGGAGGCGAGGCGCAGAGGCGACATTCTGAGGCTTTTGGCTCAAGAGCTGCATTTGGGCCCTCCTCCTCCTCCTCCTCCTCCTTCTACTGCTCCTCCCTGCGTCTGCACTCTTCTCGGCTTGGCATCGCTCGGACGTGTGCACTTCCTTTTTCTCGGCGGGGACCATCGAGGAGCATCCTTCAGCATCTCTGGAGCATCCCGCGAAAAAGAGAAGCGCGCGAAGCCCAACAAGAATGTTCAGGGAATGGACGTCCGAGCGATGGCAGGTCGGGGGGAGCTCGTGGACAGCTACTTCCCTCTGCCCCGGTCTGGCTCTGCCTGAGGGGTAAAAAGGGGGGCGCGGCGCCGCCTTCCTGCGGCAGCTCCTCGAGCCAGAGCGGCCCGACCCTCGATCCCCCGACCCTCGAGCTTCGATCGATCCTCGATCCTCGATCGCTCCTCGATCGCTCCTCGATCGACCTCCAGAGCGCGGCGAGCATGCCAGCAGCGATCTGTCCACGACGACGACCACGACCACCGCGACCACGACGACCAGGACGACCGAGTGGGTGCGGGGTGTCGATTCGGAGGCGGCTCCCTTGCGCTCCCCTGGTCGTCAGTTCCTTTGGGCCCTGCTCGCGCTCTCTGATATCGTGCCTTGTGCTCCCCGGTCTCTTTCTCGGTTCCATTGCCTCGTTCCCGGCTTTCCTTTCGCGGGTTCTCTGGTCTCGTCCCCTGGGTTCCCCGATCTCGCTCCTTGGGTTCACTGCTCGTTGCATTGCGGAGCACTGTCGAGCAATGTCAAAGAATGCCGAGCAGCGCCAAGCATTTCCAGGGAGCGCGAAGGAATGCGAAGCAATGCCAAGTAATGCCAATCATTGCGTTCAATTGCATCGCTTTGCGTGGCTCAGACTGCTTTGCCTTGCTGTGGGAGAGAAGGATCCCTAATTGGGGTCGCGCTGGATTCATGGTATCGAAGACGCCTACGACGAATCACCGCCGCCCCCTGCCTTTTTGGAAGCGCCTGCGTGGCCGAACGTCGGGTTTTAGCTTGGCCAGGCTATCGGGCCACGAGTTCTCCGAGTGCGTTTCGAAAGCTTTCGGGGAACACGGGGTCGGGCGAGCTATCGGACCAGGGGATTTCCGAGCTTTCGGGTTTCCTGGAGAACGTCTTGGAGGGCTCTTGGGCCGACTTGGAGCCCTTTTACGGGCCTTTTGGGCAGTCTAAGGCCATCTTGAGGCCATCTGGGGCCGTCTTGGGTGCATCTTGGGGCCATCTTCGCTGTCTTGGAGGCCTTCTTGGCCGTCTTGGAGGCATCTTGGAGGCCATCTTGGCTCTTGGCTGTCTTGGAGGCCATCTTCGGCGTCTTCGGGGCCATCTTTGGCCGTCTTGGGCTCTTCTTTGGGCCCTCTTGGGGGCCTCTTGGGCTGTCATGGGGCCATATTGGAGGCCTGTTGGGCGCTCTTGGACGATGTTGAGGGCCTCTTGGGCCGTCTTGGGCCGTCGGAGAGCTGATAAGGAGAAGATGCCACAATCCTTCAAACACCGAAGGAAACGCAATGATTGTTGCCCTTTCGGGCCTTCCTGGAGGACGTCTTGGAGGCCTCTTGGGGGCCTCTTGGCCAGTCTTAGGCCATCTTGGAGCCATGCCGTATTGGAGGCTTCTTGGACGAACTTGCAGGCATCTTGGACGCTCTCGGGCCGTCTTGGAAGCCATCTTGGACCATATTTTTGGCGACTTGGAGGCCATCTTGGGGCATCTTGGAGGCCATCTTGTGTCAACGTGACAATCCAAGAGGCCATCTTGAGCCGTCTTGGAGAATTTATTGAGGACGTCGGGGAGGTTTATGCTGCCTTGTGCGGCCTTTCGGGTGGCAGGCGGGACGGGCCGAAGCCCCAGGTGGAGCTCTTTTGGAAGAAGAGCCACAACCAAAAGCGAAAGGGTTCGACACGGTGGGCACCCCTGTGGTAAATCAACAGGGGGCGGCGGATGACGGAAAGAGCGAGGTACGAGTGATGATGTGGGGTTGGGGCGAAGCTTTCTAGGGAGGGGTCCAGGGGAGGGGCGAGGCCCAGGCACACTGGTCTACTGGCCCGTTTCCCTCGTATTTGTTTCGAGTGAAGCGGCTCCGGGGCGGCTCCCATGGCCCGTTTCTTCGTATTTTTTCTGTTGAAGTGGCCCAGGGGCCCCAAGACGGCCCAAGGGCCCCAAGACGGCCCCAAGAGAGCTTCAGATGGCCGCTAGACGGTCCAAGAGAGTCTCGAGACGGCCCCAGAGGCCCTCAAGAGGGCCCCCGAGAGGGCCTCAGGAAACCAAAAACCTTGATTTCCCTACGATTTTGCATGTTGTTCGGATTCTCCCCTTTTCCGTCCCAGAAGGGCCCCAGACGGCCCAAGAGGCCCCAACGATCGTCCCAGGATGGCCCCAGAGGCGGCCCAAGAGGGTCCCCAGACAGGCCCACGACGGCCCAAGAGGCCCTCAAGATCGTCCCCAGACGGCCCCAGAGGCGCCCCAAACAGGGAGGAGGAGGAGGAGGAGGAGGAGGAGGAGGAGGAGGAGGAGGGAGGAGGAGGAGGAGGAGGAGGAGGAGGAGGAGGAGGAGGGGAGGAGGAGGAGGAGGAGGAGGAGGAGGAGGAGGAGGAGGAGGAGGAGGAGGAGAGGAAGGAGGAGGAGAGGAACGAGAACGAGGAGGCCAAGGGAGGAGGAGGGAGGTAGAAGAGGAGGAGGAGGAGGAGGAGGAGAGAAGGAGGAGAAAGAGGAGGAGGAGGAGGCGGAGGAAAGCAGCAGAAGGAGGAGGAGGAGGGAGGAGGAGGAGGAGAGGAGGAGGAGGAGAAAGAGGAGGCGGAGAAAGAGGACGAAGAGGAGGAAGAGGACGAGAAGGAGGAGGAGGAGGAGGGGGAGGAGGAGGAGAGGGAGGAGAAGGAGGAGGATGATCAGGAGGGGGAGGAGGAGGAACGAGGACGAGGCTAAGGGAGGAGGAGGAGGAGGAGGAGGAGGAGGAGGAGGAAACGATGATGAGGAGGAGGAGGAGGAGGAGGAGAAGGAGGAGGCGGAGGAAGGGAGGTAGAAGGAGGGGGAGGATGAGGAGAGGAGGAGGAGGAAGAGGAGGAGGAGGGAGGATGAGGAGGAGGAGGAGGAAGGAGGAGGAGGAGGAAGAGGAGGAGGAGGAGGAGGAGGAGGAGGAGGAGGAGGAGGAGGAGGAGGAGGAGGAGGAGGAGGAGGAGGAGGAGGAGGAGGAGGAGGGAAGACGAGGAGGAAGATGCGGATGAGAAATAGACGGAGAAAAAGGAGGTGGAGGGCAAAGACGAGGACGAGGGAGGAGGAGGAGGAGGAGGAGGAGGAGCCAGGAGGAGAAGTAGGAGGAGGAGGAGGAGGAGGAGGATGAGACGTAATAAGCTCTACACACCCAGGCTCCCAAGCGCGAAGTTGACGCAACAATCTCGTCACACCAAGGCTCCCAAGAGCGAGCGGCAGCGTAAACATCTCTGACCACCAGGGCTCCCAACAGAGAGTTGTGACGTAACAAGCTCTTCCCACCAAGGCTCCCAAGAGCGAACGGTGACGTGACAAACTCGTGCACACCAAGACTCCCAAGAGCCAACGGTGACGTAAACAACTCTCAACACGAAGGTTTCCCAGAGCGAGCGGCAACGTAAAAGTCTCGGCACACCAATGCTCCCAAGAGCGAGCGGTGACGTAACAAGCTCTTACCACCAACGCTTCCGAGAGAGAAGGGTGCCGTGAGCCCTCTCGGGCAAGTTCCTGAGGCGCTCTTTTCGTTTCCGTGCTGGCCCCAGGTAACGGAAAGAGCGAGGTACGAGTGATGACGTTCTGGTGTAGGGCGAAGCCCCGAAGGGGGAGTGCAGAGGGGGGGGTAGGGGAAGGGAATGGGTGTTAATGGCCGCTCCGCCTCGTTATTTATCGAGAAGGACGGCCTTTAGGGCTTAAACAACAGCGTTTCGCTTGAGACATCCTCGGATAATGCCTCTTGAGCGCTTCTTGGGTCGTCTTGGGCGTTCCAAGAGAGCCCAAGAACCGCCCAAGACGGCCCAAGATACCTTCAAGACGTCCCACGAGCGCTCCAAAAGAGCCCAAGACCGCCCAAGACGGCCCAAAGACGTCCCAAGAGGCTTCCAAGACGCCCCAAGAGGCGCCCAAGAGGCGTCCCAAGTGGGGCCACAGAGGGCAAAATCATTGACTGTCAAAAGAAAACGTGTATTTGTTTAAGCATATACGGCTTGTCGGCTTCCATGGCGTTGAAGACGGTCCAAGAGGGCACCAAGACGGCTCCCAAAAGGCCCCCCAAACGGCCCAAGAGGGCACCAAGACGGCCCAAGAGGCGCCCAAGACGGCCCAAGAGGGCCCCAAGACGGCCCCCAGAGGGGGACCACGAACCGAAAAGTCTAGCCTTTCGCCCCAAGAAGCTCCCAGGAGGCCCCAAGAGCCCCCCAAGAAGCCCCAAAGGCCGCCAAGAGGTTCCCAAGAGGCCTCCAAAAGGGCTCTACAAGGGCCTCAATAGGACTCCCAAGAAAGCCCAGCGACGCCAAATAAAGAGCGATCGGTAACGCAAAAAGCTCTTCACACCAAGGCTCCCAAGAGCGAACGGTGACCTAAACAAGCTGATAAGATCAAGGCTCCCAGCAGAGAGCGGTGACGTAACAAGTTCCTGACACCACGGCCCAGCCAAGGCCCAGGAACGGGCGGCAATGCAGCAATCTCTGAACACCAAGGCTCCCAAGAGCGAGGGATGACGTAACAAGCTCGCAACGCCAAGGCTCCCGGTACGAACGGTGGTGTGAGTAATTTCGGCTTTTGTTTCTGAAGCGCTCTTTCCGTTTCTGTGCCGGGTCTGGTCTATTGGCCTTCGGCCCATCCCGCCATCTTGCCTGGGTTGTGGGTCGGAGTCCTCCAGGATGCTTCTTGGGGTCCCCACCGAGAAAAAAAAGCGCACGCGTCCGAGCGATGCCAAGCCGAGGAGAGAGTGCAGACGCAGGGGGGAGGAGGAGGAGGAGGAGGAGGAGGAGGAGGAGGAGGAGGAGGAGGAGGAGGAGGAGGAGGAGGAGGAGGGGAGGGGGAGGAGGACGAGGAGGAGGAAGAGGAGGAGGAGGAGGAGGAGGAGGAGGAGGAGGAGGAGGAGGAGGAGGACGGAGAGGAGGAGGAGGAGGAGGAGGAGGAGGAGGAGGAGGAGGAGGGCCTCTTGGGAACCTCTTGGGGACCCGGGCCTCGGCTTCTTGGAGGCCCCTTGGGGCCTCTCTCCGGGCTTCAGTAACCGTTCTGGAGGCCTCTTGGGCCGTCTTGGGGCCCCCTGGGGCCGTTGTGGGCCCTCTTGGAGGCCTCCTCGGGTGGAACAAAAAGTGGCATAAACAGAAAAACTCGGAGGTCCGCGCGGAGTTCTCGGATCGGCGCTGGGGCAGGGAGGGGGCTCCAGGGCCGATCCGAGAAATCCGCGCGGACTTCCGAGTTTTTATGTTTATGTCACTTCTTGTTCCCTTACCTTCGGCTGTCCTGGGGCGATGTTGGGGGCCTCTTGGACCAGCAAGCCGAAAATGCGAGAACTCTGAACTCATTCCAAAACCGATGGAGTATGTACGATTTGTGCCTCTCTGGGGCCCTCTTGTGAGTGGTCTGTCCTCGAGGCCTCTTGGGCCGTCCGGAGGCAATCTTGGGGGTCAAAAAACGACTCAGGACAAAAAACCGGCCCCAGGGAAGGTGATCCAGATCTCAACCAAAAAAATTGGAGCGGCAGAATGTTTGGGGAGGTTCCTCGTCACCACGGTTGGATCCGCATCGACAAACTGGTCTTGATGGACCTCAGGAGTGCGATGTTGAACGGATTTGGGCCCAGCGGGAGAGTCGCCGTTCTCTCCCGTTGGCCGTCAGAGGCAAGGAGGTCGCTAAGTGAAGTCGGTCGGTCGTATCGCTGGGGTCTCGGTGGCCTCTTCTGGATACGGAAAGCGCAGTTCTGATTTCCAGCGGTTGCGCGTTAGTGGTCCTTCCCGCCGTTGAAGGGCACCCTTCCGGAGTCGCTCGCCGAATGCCAGTCGCTCACAGGCCTGGGGAGCACTCCTGCTTCGTGGGGACGGGGAGAGATCCG